ACAGCCCCACAACCGGAACAAATTACCAACGGGACAGTTACCAGTACAAAGACCGTTTGAACGTAATTTCGGTTGACCTAGTTGAATATAAAGTAGAATCAGTTTCAGCCGCCGGGGTACGGTGCAAACATGTCCTATCCATGATGGACCACCTAACCCGATTCACCGTGTTGACTCCGATTCCCAACAAGTCAGCAATCACTGTCGCTCAGGCCATTATCGACCGCATCATCAGCATCTTTGGATCGCCTGAACTGTTGCATTCCGACCAAGGACCTGAATTTGAGAACAGTGTAGTCCACCAATTACAGCGTATTCTGAACTACAAGAAAACCCGCACGACACCATACCGTCCGCAGGGTAATTCTGTCTCAGAACGAGTACATGCTACCATGCACGCAATGCTGGCCATGCATAGTTCCATGAACCGCGATAACTGGGCATCATTGCTGCCTTTTGTCCAACTGGCTTACAACACGTCATTTAGCTCCACCATGCATGAAACACCATTCTTTCTTATGTTTGGTCGGAAGCCACGACTACCAGTTGACATTATCCTCGGCATCCCTCATGTGGGAACAACAGCGAATACCGAGGAATTCTCTAAAACAACACAGGAAAATCTACAGGTTGCTTTTGAACTAGCGCGCCGTAACCTATCGGAACGCACAAAAAAACAAGCTGCTAAGAACGCTAAACTGCGCCCTATCCCTGTGTTTAAACCTGGTGATCTAGTACTTGTGTACCGCCCATACCAGGATTCGGATGGACCAAATCCGAAATTATTGTTACCGTGGAGAGGACCTTACGTCATCTGCTCTAAATTATCACCGGTGGTATATAGAGTGAGACGCCAGAACGAAACTCGAGAAGTTTCGGTCCATTTAGCCCACATTAAACAGTACTACGCGAGGAAAACGCCACCTGCGCCAGACTTTGATAAGCTTTCCGAGTTTTTCTTAGGACGCCAGATTCCGTTGCCCGAGCTAGACCATCCCGACGAAGCTCAACCGAAAATTGAATCCTACGTCGTTGACAAAGTGGTAAGTCATAAGAGTGGTAAGGGGCCGAAAACCCCGTACAACTACAAGTATCGTTTGCGTCTTCGAGGCTACGGCCCTGAGTCAGACCTTGAATATAGAGCAGACGAAATTCCACAATGTCAAGAAATGATATCTGCCTACCGAATCCGTTGTGGTTTGGAAATCGTGCAGCCTAATAAATCGTCGTCTCGTGCCCCAGTTGAACAGGGAGACCCAAAATCACCCAGTAAAACAGGGAAACGAAAACGAAAACAGGCAGCTACTCCTCAAGAACCTTTAAGTCGGAAATTGGCAACGCAAAGTGGCTCTGAGCCACCGAACAAAACCAAGAAGCGACGAAGAAGGCTCCTAAAGGAGGGTCCATTACCCAAGTCGCGTTCTGCTACGACACAGAGTGATACTCAATTGCCCTGCCGTACTAGCAAACGAAAACGAACTAGGGCCCGGAAATTAAACGATTGATTTATTCTATCGTTCCTAACAGTTGCCATGTCTATCTTTTCCGAGACTTGAGACAAATTTATACTACTATTATTCTGTGTTATATATATATATTTAGCACAGGACCAGTAGCCACGGTGGTTGGTTGTATCCAGTGGAAACAACCTATTTTTGAAGTGTTTGGGGAAACACTCGCGAGGAGAATTGAATGATACCACCGCTGTCCCAAGATCT